CACACACACACACACACACACACACACACACACACACAGACACACACACACACACAGACACGCACACACACACACACACACCAAAAAAGAAGAAGAAGAAGAAAAATACTGTCGCACTTCTTCGTGGGACTGGTCACACTACACATGGAAGCGAATAAAAAATGATGCATCTACCAACAGAAGACGCCAGGATACATACAAGAAAACGAAAAAAAGTATTCCGCACTTCTCTGTCGGACTCACACTACAAACGGAACCAAAACAAACACGATGCATCTACCCACAGAAGACGCCAAGATACATCCACTGCTGTAAGTTGAAACAAATGTATCGTGGATTCTTTTTGTGGGGAGATGTCGGCTGTCTTCTTATAGTTTTGTGCTTCGTGTGGTGCTCTCTCTCTCTCTCTCTCTCTCTCTCTCTCTCTCACACACACACACACACACACACACACACACACACAGAGTCAGTTTTATGTATGTTTGCCTGCCTCTTTGTATGCTTTCTTCCTGTATATTTTCTTAGTACTTTTTGTGTGCCGAGCTGAGCACCCTCAAGTAGTGCTAAACAGTCAAGCCATTCCCCGTTCGGAGTGCCTACAGCACTCTTAGGGGGACCACTCAGTTCGGGATGTTTGTCTGCCCCACGGGTGATGATGGATATTCGTCGGAGTGACTCCCTTGCTCAGTGGGTGGTGGGAACCAACAGTTTGCAGGGTTCACCCGTGAAGTCAGTAGGTTATGTGCCGCTTTGCTCCGTGTTGGATGTGTGGACTGCCTCGTCTGCGCTCCACCGCTGCCTTGCAGTTCGTCCCGCTTGCTTCGCAGGTCGTTCTTGGCAATCTGCTGTGTTCGTTGTGTGGTGTGGCCGTGTTGTTGGTGTCGCCTTGTGCTTCGCTGCCCTGCTGCCTTGCCGCCCTTCCGCTGGCCATGCCTTCCGTGTCCTTTGCAGCTTTGTTTGCGCACCTTTTAGTTCAGTTGCCTTGTTGGTGTTGCCTTGTGCTTCACCGCATGGTTGTTGTGCTGCTTGTCCGCTCGCCCTGTTGTCCCTCGCAGTGTGGTCGCCTTGTGCTTCACTGCGTGGTTGCCATGCTGCGTGTCCTGCGTGCCGTGTCGTTCCTTGCAGTCATTTTTGGCATTGAGCAGCCGTGTTGCCTCTACTGCGTTGCCTGGTGCTCCGCAGGGTTGCTGCCCACTGCTATGTGCCGCTTGGGGACAGTCTGCCTTCAACATGGGTCATAAACAAAGGGTTTATGACCCAAGCCATCAAATACGGGCATTCCGCAGATTGTTGAGGGTTCAGCCTCCTGATGAGTCGGTGCAACTCCGACAAAACAACCTTTCATCTCTTGTCTTTTTCGGTTTGTGTTTTTGTCATACTTGTATTTCTTTTGGTTGCTACTTTTGCCTTGCTAGTTTGGCTAGCTGCTGTTTCCCTGCTTCCTTGGGCTGTTTGTCTCCCCGCCTGCCTCCCCCATGCCTTCCACCTTATGTGTTTTGCTGTCCTGTGCTGTTTGCCTGCCCGCCCGCCTTCCCTAAGTGCTTTGCTGCCTTGTGTTGTTTGCCTTGTTACATGCTGTTTGTCGGCCCCCCACCTCCCTCGTGCCCTCCAACCTACGTCGACTTGTCGTTCATCAAAGTGGCCCCCTGCCGGCTGCTTGCTGCGTCCGTGGCTTTTTCCGTTGTTGTTTTTGCTTCCTTGGTTGTATGGCTTTGAGGGTTATCCAATGACTTGTGTTGCGATGGTATGGTGCATGGTTTTGTACCATGCTGGGAATAAACGTAAATGTGCTTTACACACACACACACACACACACACACACACACACACACACACATGGACGCAAACACACAAAATTGCGGTCAGATACAAGAAGGAACAAAAATGTAACGTCGCCGTTCTCTATAAGACTCGTCAAACAACAAAGGAGACGAAAAACAAAGACGATGCATCTACCCACAGAAGACCCCAAGATACATCCGCTACTGAGAGTTGAAATAAATGTATCTTCGCGCTCTTTTGCGGGTAGATGATGCGGTTTCCTCTTAGTTTCGTTTCATCTCTCTCTCTCTCTCTCTCTCTCTCTCTCTCTC